ATACTCTCGTGCAATAGGACTTTGCCACGAAGAATCGAGATGTGGGGGCTTATGGGGAAGGGATGTGTCTAGACGGGGGGATTTAACCTGACCCTGACCCTATTCTGAAGTGCGTGCCAGTCTCCGGGGACTTGGTTGGCCCGTTCAATGTGCTCCCCGCCAGTACCTCACCACACGGTTCTCAGAACAGGCCTTTCCTATGACAGACCTCTTGCCTGTGCGTGTGCGTTACAGCTCGGGCGCAGGTCCAGGACCCCTTCGTGGGGGGTTGGGAGACGACCCACCCAGCGTCCTCCTCAGCTCCTGCACCCACGGTGTTGCTGAGAACCTCTGATGCTCTAAACTGCTGGAGCTTGCCAAGACATTAGCTGTTTCTCTTTGTTCTCTCATTTATACCCCCCATCTCTGCTAAAAAGCCATCAGGGGGGATGCAGCCACTGGAAACAAATTTTTCCTTGCCACAGTGAAAATAAAAACAGGAAAAATTTTGTGGGTTTTTGTTACAAGTGAACTTCCGGCAACCCCTGAATGCGTGCCTTTCTTAAAGGTGCTGTCGCCTTTTGTAAATCCAGGACAGAGGCTTCATTGGGAGCCCACCCTTTCCGTGGCTGGCCTTACCCTTCCTCGCCTGCCTTGGACTCGCCTTTCTTCTCCAGGCACTGTTGCCTTCTCATCATGTGCCCAAAGCTATGAGAGCTTCAGGAAAAACACGGAAATGTTTTCAAAAGCATAAAAACGGCTGATTCTAAAATGCTAAACGGAAAAGAACAGGCATGGCCACCCGCTTTCTGAAAACCAAGAAAGTGGGGGAGCACATCGCATCATCTGGGGGCGACACAAGAGAACCCCTTCCGTGTGTCCCGGCAAATAGGGCTCAGTGGGAAATGGTGTGGCTCTTTTAGGGTGCAATCCGATGGATATTTAGACCAAAAAAGGACCTACAACGTCCAGCATGCCTTTTGCAGCCTTTTTTCTGTCTAAATATGAACGGGGTCACACCCTGAAATGATACAGACCTTTGCGAACTGTCCAGATGTAGGTCAGTACAGCCATGCACTCCTCCATTAAATGTTTTCTAGCAAGGACATATTTATTTTCAAGGTCTACTCCCAGATGGGCAAAAGTGTGTTCCAGAACATACACAACAAAACTGCACCATGCGTACCAAGTTTTCACTCCAAGCTTTTGCATGGAGAGAGCCCGTGGGTAGAGTCTGGGGCCCAGCTATGTGTCTGAGGGGAAAACAGTCTTCAGCATGTCTGTTTGCAACAAGCCCTGCAGCCACAACACGAACATGCCGTGTTACTTGAGCACACTGTTCCCGAGCACCAAAAATGCCTAGTCAGCCATCCTGCCGGAGCTGGGAATCCCATCACCGCCAGTTGGGGGTGAACTGATTGCAAACCTGCACTGGACTCTCTCTTCCTTTCTCGTGATATTTTAATCCCACCCCCAGCCAGAAAGTCTAATGGAGCAGCTTGCAAACAGTCTGACAAGACGGTCCCTGGGCTGACCGTTTAAAAAGACAGAACATGCAGCTGGCCCCTATGGCCACATTGCGCTAAACAGGGAAACACGCGCTTAGCATTGCTCACGTCTGGGGCATGTTTGACTCAGTGGCATTGCAGGCTCCTTGCAACTCCGTCCTGTGATGTCGTGTGGTATAAATGTGCCGTCACTGGTTATTATTCCTGCACCAAATTCGTGTCCCAGCTCTCGTGAGGAACCTAAGGTGCCTTACATAGTTCTCCACCCCATTTCTATCCCCACAACAACACTGGCCCCATGTCCCCCAGGGAGTTCATGGCTGCGCTGGGGCTGGAATCTCCCAGGCTCTTGGTCCAGCACCGTCTCCATCGCACAACACGGTCTTCCTTTTGTGTATGCGGAGGCATTCCAAAGTGGGGTGCGTGTAAACCCATTGCATAAAGGGGCACAATCCAGAATTGCATTACATCCTTCTGCATTACCTCCCGAGGCTTTCCATGAAGGATGGGATATAAAAGCTTTTAATAAAGAAGTGAATACTGTGGAACGGCTTGTGTGTGCGGGTTTGTGAGTGTGAACTTAAAATTATCTCCTCGGAAGAGTGCAAGAGGCTTGCCGTATCAGATCAAGGAGCAGCAACTATCCCAGTATCCCGTTTCCAACATTAGCCAGTTGATCCTGGTGGCCCAACGCTGAGCTCAAGACATGACCCGGGAAGCCCTGGTTCAGCGTTCGGCTCTGCTCTGAATTTATGCTGGGACGGGGACTTCTGTCCTCCGAGGCCGCCCATCTGCAAGCTGAAGGAAAGGATGCTGACCTGCTTCCGCTCGCTGAGAAGGGCCGGAGGCAGAGGGGCCTGGCCAGCATCCCCAGCCAGGGCTGGAGAGACCCCTGGCCGGAAAGGCACTGGGGGCGAGAGAGCCAGCCGCGTGACTCGCTCGCTCGCCGCAAGGGTTAGGGTGAGTCACCTGTGCGCGCCTGCAGATGATGCCAATTCCGCAAAAACTGCCCACGTCCCTAGTCCTCTGTGATCCCCAAGAAGAGCGCAACGCCCTCCGCCGAAAAAAACCTCGCGGCGCGGAGAAAAGCCGAGCAGGTAAGTCGGCGCGGCCGCAGCACCTTGAGTGGGTGCGCATGGGGCGGGGCCAGTGGAAGGGGCGGGGCTCCGAGCCCCAAGGTGCGCGGGGGTGGGCGGCTCGCCTGGGCTCCCCACGCTGCCCCGGGCGCTTCTCGGGGGCCGGATCCTGCCTTGGAAGGGGGTGCGAGGCGCGCTCCCCGCTGCAGCCCCCGGGCCCTCGCCAGGCGCAGCCGCCGCTCTGCGGGGCGGGACGAAGGACCCCCCCCCCCAACCTCGCCTGGCAGCCCTTGGTCTAGCCGGGGCTGGTTTGGCTGGCGGAGCCCCCTCCCCAGCCAGCTGGGACCCGGGGGGCGAGGGGGCAGTCGCCCCCCAGCAGGCAATTCACGCGCCCAGCAGCTGCAGGGGGAGAGGGAACCTGCTGGCGGCAGCTGCCCCCGCCCGCCCAACCCTGGCTGCCCCCCGGGCCGCGATCCTCCCCCGTCTGGCGCTGCGATCTGAGGAAAAAGCCGCTGCACGGTGAGCGATGGGGTGCGCCCCCCACCCCCCGGGCGTGCGAAGGCAGCGGGGCAGAAACTGCGTGTTCCGCGCACGGGGGAAACGGGGAAGGAAAGGGGGCACGTTCTGCACCATCCGCTGGCCGGGGGGAGGGGGAGCGGTTTGTGCCATTTATCACCCCCCACGAGCCTGCAGAGCCTTGCTTCCCAACCCAGGGCCCTGGTCTGTCTAAAAGTTGGGGGGGGGGGCGCGAAAAAGTAAAGGGTGCAGTTCTTTTAGGCTCCATCTAAAAGTCGCGGGGGGGCAAAAATAAAGGGTGCACAAACAGATATTTTAGAGGCCACATCGCAAACAGGTTTTGATAGTTTGTTTGTAGAAAAAATGCAGAGGTGGTGCAGAGAAATGGGGGGGCACCCCCCCCCAGCTACCAGTCTGCTTCAACCCACACTTCCTTGCATCCTTTTCCAGTTAAGCAGGGACCCATCCCTACACCTGCAGCCCCCTCCACCGCCCTGGGACAGCCACCAGGGATGTCAGCTTGGAAGTGGGGGTGGAGATGCAGGGAGGGCAGGTGAGGGGGGCAGGTGAGGGTGTCCTGCATCATTTCTTGTCCCCATTTCCTACGAAGGGAGGCGCAGCGTGAAATGTAGCGACTGGATTCGTGCACTCGGGCATCTTCGGGGTAGCCAGAAATTTCAGCTTGCAGGCTCCCGGCAGGTTTACCTCAACATAAAATCAGTGCTTCTTCAAACTCTGCAGGCCATACTGGATAAATAGCTGTTGGCTGGTCACCTAGGGTGAGCAAGAATCCCTCCCAGGTGGCCATGCTGGGAAGCTCTTGTAAACTGGAGGAGAACCCGTTCTTCCTTCCCCCCCTAGGCTGCAGGTGAGCTGCACAGGGCTAGCACAGGAGCAGGTGGGCAGGTAGGCTGGTAAAAACTGCCCTACGAAGAGACGCTTTCCAGGTGAGCTGGAACTATGGCCAGGCCACAAGCAGGGGAAGCTTGGCCAATGTTAGTGCTTATTGAGGAGAGGCTGCGGTCTGATGGCAGGAAAGAGCTCTTGATTCGATCCACAGCAGCTCCCCTTAAGAGGACTGGAGAGTTGGCGACTGAACAGGCCTCTGCTGGCGTCCCACTTGCTTTCTTCTTCCGAGCTCGTAACTTTTCTGAACTGATTTGCAAGGCTGTGACCATTATACGTTCACCGACCGGCTGGGTCAAAACCGGATTCTGCTCCACCGTGCGAATCCATCTTTTGTGGAGACATGAGAGTCAAAGATAATTGCAGACTGGCGGCTCTGGTTGCATCAGTTTTGCTCCTATCTGAGGGCTGGGAGCAAGAGATCCAGGTTAATTAACATGTAGGATAATTAACAAGTGTTTGAACTCACAGTTTTGCACAAGGTGCAGATGCTTCCTGAAGAACTCTTGCCTAACGCTTAGCTCATTTATGAGTTACAGGTGGCTCATGAAAGCAGTTTTCAAGAATTGCAAGCATCTGGGAATAACTGGGTAGGAGAGGAGTAAGACTTTTATGCGGGGGGTGGGGGTCCACTTTGAACCGAGATTGACTGAATCAGAAAACGTGCATAATTTCTCTTTCAGTATTGAGTCTGAAAGCAAAGCAATCTTTTCTATGTGGGGGGGGGGATGGGGGAGAAACAGATTCCTTACAGGCCTTAAAAGATCCACATCTCTGTACTTCAAACTTTAACAGCACCATCTCTGGGTTTTCTTTGGGTTTCCCCAACACCTGTTCCACTTTCACCGAGGCTTTTTCTTTCAGTGAACCCTATGATCTCTGGGATCCCAGACAGCATCAGCTGAACCACTTTGAGGTTTCAGCCAAAGAGGTTTCAAGAGTATGACTCATCTTCTGATTCATAAGCCCTCCTTCTTATACCTTCTCTCAGAATAGCTCTGCATTCCTAGCAAACATGGCTCGGGCTCAGGCTGGCTCTGGGAAGGTAACTCTTTTCCAGCAAAAAACACCGGGAGGCCTCACCTACCGCATCCCGGCGCTGCTCTACCTGCCCTCTGAGTCCACATTCCTGGCGTTTGCAGAGGAGCGCTCGACACCTAGAGATGAAGATGCTAAGTTCCTGGTGATGAGACGGGGGCAGAAGGAAGGCATGTCTGTCCAGGTGAGTCGGGAAGGTGTGTGTTGGGGGAAAGCAGCAGTGCAGTTCTTGATTTTCTGTGATTTTATCCTTCTGCCACTGGAAAATTCAAGCTGGAGTCCTACAGCGAAAATATTGCTATGCCAGAAGGCTGGGCAGGCAAGGAATTAGATAATAATCCAGGTAAAATAAAACTTGTTTCGGGATAGGTGTCTAGTTGTCTCCAGCTCATGGTGATGCTGCGAATGACCCTCCGCCCCCAAATAGCTTTGATAGCTTTATGGTTTTAGAGTCATTGGTATGAATTGTCTGTTGTCTTGTGTGTTTCATATTATGTCTTGTTGTAATGGATTTAATGATGTGAGCCACCCAGGGGGCCTATGGCCAGCATACAAATAGAAATAAATGCATACACGAAGTCCCACCTTTGACGGCTCAGCTCAGCTCTTGTGAACTCCAGGCTGCGGCCTCACTTAGGCATTCCCTCTGTCTCAGGTTTGGCTATCCTTCCTCTAGATTTATTCTGAAAGGGCAGAACTCATTGGAGGAGACGACAGTGATGGGGAAAGTCAAAAGAGAAGGAGGAAGGATAGCATAAAAATAAACAAATTAGCATGCATCTGGAGATCTTGGAAGACAGGCTGGGCGGCTGCCTGACAGGAGATTTTAGGTCTGAAGGGCGACTCGCTGTGCCGTGTCTTGCTCTCGTACCGTGTTCTCTCGCTCTGGCTCCAGCACTTTCTGCCCGATCGCAGACTCCTTGGCAAGTGGCCAGGATTCCGCAGGGATCGCTTCCCTCTCGTTGACTCTGTGGCCATGAAATAATCGTTCGAGCTGCAACAACCCAGGTTCAGATGCAAGAGATCAGGAAAAGTTTAGAAACAGAAGCAAAGCGAGTCAGAAGGGACCTCCTGGGCCATCTAGTCTGACCCTCAGCTCCAGCCAGCTCCGCTCATGCAATCCCCATCATGCGGTTGTCCTGTCTTTCCTTGAAGACCCTCGCTGATGGGGCCTCCACCACCTCCCGTGGAAGCCCATGCCACATCCGTGGGGTCCTCACCGTTAGGAAGCGCTTCCCGACATCCAACCTGAAGCCTGGTTGCTTGAGCTCTGCCCCATTGGGACGCATCCTGCCCTTCACTGCAGGGAAGAACAGCTCATGGCTCCGTCTCCACATGACATCCTCTGACATAGCTATAAGTTGCGAAAAGATCCCCTTGGAACCTCATCTCCTCCAGCCTAAAAAGACCCCGTTCCCTCAATTTCTCCTCGTATGTCACCTCTCCCAGTCTGGCTCCTGTCCTTGTGACCCTGCCCTGAACTGGTTCTACCTAGCTATGTCTCTCCTCTAATTTTCCTCCCTGCCAGAGCAACACGGCAGTGGGACCAGCTGCCTGGAGAGGTGGGGGGCTCTCCCGCACGAGAGACGCTAAAAAAGAAACTGGGCCGCCCCGAGTGGGATGGTGTGGCTTGGTGTCCTGCGACAGCAGGGTTTGGACCCGATGGCCTTCTGGCCCCTTCCAACTCTGCTGTTCTGTGTTTCTATGAGAGCACCTGCCATTCTGAGTCAGTGGGCCAGGCACCAGCTCACCAGATCCGGCTGCTGCTATCTCGGTCCTACATCCAGGTGCAAAGCGGGGCAGGCAGACCGGCAGAACAGGTCGGAGCCGAATGCGGAGGTGATGGTTGCTCTGCTCTCCGAGGCTGGGCGCTTTGCACAACGACTTCGGATGCGATTTCACCACCACCAGAGAGCATCCGCTGCCTGGGTGTAGCCGTTCCCCTGCCTGGCCTTGCGCCAAGCTGACTGCGATGCCCCCAAGAACAGCCTCGGGCACCGGGTCTGCCTCTTCCTGCGAGGGGGGACGGACCCTGAGGCACAAAGGGGAGCTGGTGTAGCTTCTGGGCTCGGCTCCTGGGACAGCCTGTCTGCCTTGCGGAGACTTGGACACTGGCCAGTGCAAGGGGCTTTTGAAATGCCTCCCTGCCGAGGAAGCGCAGGGCTGTGCGGGGCCCTTTCGTTCTGCAAAAAGCCCTTTGCGAAGGGGAATATGTGGAGGCAGGAGTGGCGACGGAGTGGGCAGGGAGAGGCCTTACGATTAGAGGCTGGGGCTGCGCAGTGAAACACAGGGCAGATGAGGAAGAGGCCAACAGACCTAGCACATCAGTCGCTTCTGAGACCGATTGATTGCCGCAAGGTGAGATCACGGCCCCAGCTTGGAAGCCTTTCAAGGGCGGATTGTCATACTCGGGGAGGGGGACCGTGTGGGGCCCAGTGGCCGAATGGGGAGGATTCTGGGGGGCTTTGCAGAGCATCTGTCTGGCCACAGTTGGCCCTGCTGTGGGGTTGCCCTTAGCCTGATCCAGCAGAGTCCTGTAAAAGAATCCCTGTCCTAATGCATAAGAGCCACCCCAGTGTGGCGTTACAGCACTGGCCTGGGGACCCAGGAGATCCGGGTTCAAGCCCCCATGCAGCCATGAAGGTCACGGGGTGGCAGAGGGTGTGTCACTCCCTCTCAGCCCAGCCTACCTCGCAGGGTGGTTGTTGTCAGGATGAGGTGGGGGGGTTTATGCAAGCTGCCTGGGGTTTCTTGCAGGAAAAAGCATGGGATAGAATACAGTACACTGAGAGGGCAGGGCAGTGGAGGCGCTTGGGGGCCGCGAGGAGCGTCGCTCACTAACCCCACCCTCCTCTTGCCCTAGTGGGGCCCCCCGGAGCCTCTGATGACAGCCGTCCTGCCCAACCGCCGCACCATGAACCCCTGCCCGGTGTTCGAGAGGAACAGCGGCACCGTCTTCCTCTTCTTCATCTGCGTGGAGAGCCGCGTCACGGAAAGTCAGCAGATCCGGGCGGGGAGGAACGCCGCCCGGCTGTGCTACGTCTCCAGCCAGGATGGCGGCCGCACCTGGAGCCCCGCCACGGACCTGACCGAGCAGGTGATCGGGGGCGACCTGAAGAACTGGGCCACCTTCGCGGTGGGGCCGGGCCACGGGGTGCAGCTCCGCTCCGGGCGCCTGGTGGTGCCGGCCTACGCCTACTACATCCACAGGCGCTTGTTCGGCTACCCAGTGTCCTTCTGGATCAAGCCCCATTGCTTCACTTTCTACAGCGACGACGGCGGACGGAGCTGGCATCGTGGCTGGATCCTCCGGAGCGTGCGGGCGCTGGAGTGCCAGGTGGCTGAGCTGCAGGGCCAGGATAATAGCCCGGTGGTATACTGCAATGCCCGCAGTACCCACGGGTCCCGGGTTGAAGCCTTCAGTTCGGACGGCGGGGACCGGTTTGAAGAACACTTCCTGTCCAAGAAGCTGTTTGAACCTCCCAGCGGATGCCAGGGAAGCGTGGTGACCTTTCCGGCCCAGTCGGAGCCGGGCCGTCCTCTCTCCCCCACTGAGAGCTCCAAGGCATGGCTTATCTTCTCCCACCCCACCAGCAGACACAAGCGGGTCGACCTGGGCATCTACCTGAACACCTCCCCACTGGAGGAGGACTCCTGGAAGGCACCTTGGCTTCTGTACAAGGGGCCCAGTGCCTACTCAGACCTGGCTGTCTGCAAGGAGAGGCCGCTGCTCTTTGGTTGCCTGTTTGAATGCGGTGTGCAAAATTCGTATGAAGAAATTGCCTTCCAGCTCGTCACGGATGTTGAGCTGGAGAGGAACACGCGGGAAGGCGCATCCTGAGCCTTGGGACAGCTTCACGCGAACATGCAAAGGGGAAAGGACCAAATGAAAGAAAAAGAAGATCTGGCCCCTGCAGGGGGGTAAATCCCACCACCCCCTTTCCCCAAGCGGAGATCTCGGGCACCTCGCTTTCCCTTGGCAACCTGTCCTTCAACAGCTGTCGAGAGAACCCGAAGGGAAGGGAAGGGGACGGAGGGTCTGCCTGCTGCAGAGTCGGGGCAGGAATCTGCAGATATTGGCCCAGCCAAGGTGGGTGGTTGCCACGTTAATGGTAAGGCGCCCCTCTGCAGTTGCTCAAGTGCGGCAAGGCTGTTTTAAGGAAACGTATTGTGCACAGGGGCTCTGGAGAGTCCCCTGGACTGCAAGGAGCGCAGACCAGTCGATCTTAAAGGAAATCAACCCGGACCGCTCTTTCGAGGGCCAGATACTGAGGATGAAGCTCAAATACTTTGGCCACCCAATGAGAAGGAACAACACCCTGGAGAAGAGCCTGATGCTGGGAAGGATTGGGGGCAAAGGAAGGAGGGGACGGCAGAGGGTGAGGTGGCTGGATGGGGTCACTGGGGCGGTGGGTGTGGGCTTGGGGGGACTCTGAGGGATGGCGGAGGACAGGGGGGCCTGGAGGAAGGCTGTCCATGGGGGTGTGATGGGCCGGGCATGACTTTGCGACTAAACCAAACCAAAAAATAGCACACACTGTGGACGCACAAAGTAAAAAAAAAATTGCTTCCCAACCACAGGCAGCCACTCCAGGGCGCCACCTCCGCTCTTGGAAGGGGCTGCAAGCCAGCTAGCACCATCTGTGACTTTGGCAGGGGGCACCTGCCCCGGACAGCCCCCCCCCCCCCCCAGTACTGCTTGGGCATTTTTGGAGCCCTCCCCAGGCGGACACCTCTGCACACTTCGCAAGGGCATTACCCCTCTTGCCGAGTGAGTTACTGGCGGGCTCCCAGTGCGCAGGATGGCGCCAGCTGCCTGCATTCAGATGACGCGTCAACCCACTGAAGGTACAACCACCCCAGGTGCGAACCCTCCCTGCTTTCGAGAAGGGGCACTCAAGAGCAGCATGGGGTAGTGGTGAGAGTACTAGACTGAGGCAATCAAGGTGCTTCCCCCATTCAGGAAAGACCCTGGGTAAGTTTCCTGCAGTCACTGGCTCCCAGCCTAGCCTACCTCACAGGGCTGTTATGAAGATAAAATGAAGAGGAGGAACTTTCTGTCACATGCCTTGGATTTCTTGCAAAAGGAAAGAAAGGCAGGCTAGAAATGTAATGAATAAATATTCTAGAAGGCAGCTATAAATGATAAAAGCCCCACATTCCGATTAAAAACGTAAGAAGGACGATCAAAAAACGAATGCGCCATGAAAGAAAAAAAGAAAAGAAAAAATAGAAAGAGTACCCAAGCCAGAAGAGCAGCTTGCATGTCAAAAACCGACCTGAATAAAAAGCATTTGCCCATTGACTGAAGGGCCGCAGAAGGGGAGCCTGCTGCTCTTGCCTAGACAGGGAGTTCCCAAGGCAGGGGCAGCCACCGAGAAGGCCCCGTCTCCTTGCCCTCGGACACGCACGCAATGGCGGTGGAAGGAAGAGAAGGGCTTCTGTGCAGCCCACGCGGCCAGGGCGGGCTTGCACGGGACGGCGCCTCTGCACATGCATCGCAGGGGCTTCTGTGTCGCTTCCCACAGTCTGTGCTTCGACGACCGACATTTCTGAAAGCTGAGGAAGGACTGGCCTGCGAGTGGCTCCTTCTTGCTCAGAGCTTAGGCGCTGCAGGCCAGCGGATCGGGACTCGGAGATCTGCTCCCTAGCTACTGCTTCTCCCAGCGCAGCTTTGGGTGACCATACAAAAAGGATCTATCTTTAAGCAGGAATATTTCACAGTGCAAGTGCAGAGTGCACACTTGCCTATTCTATTGGTTCAGCGCACCCCATGCCTTGCTTTCTATTGGATGGTGGAGGATATCTCAGCGTTGCATGTCATAGATGCCCCCACCAATCCCATACCGCGGATTGTATGACAAGAACAACCTGTCACTCCAGATGCTTTGACCTTCGACTCCCATCATCCCTAGCCACCATAGCCAACAATGAGGGATCATGGGAGCTGTAGGCCAGCAATCTACACACCCCAAATCCACGAAGCCGCACATGCAAAAGCCAAGTAAGAAGACTCCTCATCTCTGTCATATACAGCGGCAGTTCTAAGGATCGGCCTGCTCTTGCTTGGCTTTACTGCAGTTTCTAATTTCCTATAACTATTTATTGCAGTTTCTAATTTCCTATAAATATTTATTGCAGTGTGTAAGTTGACCTGGTCCTGAATGGTGCAACACTCCCTCTTAGGGATAAGGTCCGCAGCTTAGGAGTACTCCTCGACCCGGAGCTTTCATTGGAAGCTCAGGTGACAGCGGTGGCGAGGAGCGCCTTCCTTCAGCTTCGGCTGATCCATCAGCTGCGCCCCTACCTGGAGTACGACTGCCTGGCGACGGTGACACACGCGCTGGTGACTTCCCGCCTAGACTTCTGTAACGCGCTTTACGTGGGGCTTCCCTTGAAGATGGTCCGGATACTTCAGTTGGTTCAAAATAGAGCTGCCAGGTTGCTGACGGGGACGGGGTGTTATGCTCACATGACTCCAGTCCTCCGTCAGCTTCACTGGCTTCCCATTGCAGTCCGGGCCCAATTCAAGGTGTTGATTATGACCTATAAAGCCCTAAACGGCTTGGGTCCTGGCTACCTGAAGGAGCGCTTACGTCCATATACGCCCGCCTGCCCCTTGAGATCTGCGGGAGAGGCCCTTCTCCGGGAGCCCTCCGTGAAGGAAATTAGGAGGGTAAGTACCCGGAGGAGGGCTTTCTCTGCGGTGGCACCCAACCTATGGAATTCACTCCCCAAAGAGGTCCGCCTGGCACCGTCGTTACTGGTTTTTCTGCGCCAGGTAAAGACCTTTTTATTTAAACATCATTTAAATTGTTAAAACATATGATCTGGCCAGAGCAACTTCTTCTTCCTTCTCTTTCTCCTCCTATATTTTTTTTTTACTTATTTTATACTGATAATTTTAATTTTATATTATTATGTTTGTAACTCAATGTATTTTTTGTATTTTTGTATTTAATGGTAATTTATTATGTGCTGTTGTATTTCAATGTATTTTATCGTGTTGTAAGCCGCCCCGAGGTTTCGGCAAGGGGTGGCATAGAAATGTAATAATAATAATAATAATAATTATTATTATTATTATTATTATTATTATTATTTCCTATAACTGCATGGTTAGTTCTTAAAAGCCCCGAAGCAACGTGATCACAAGGGCCAAAATAGTGGCGGAAAAATCCTGCTTCTTTCTGCGATGTGCAAGAGTGGGGGGGGGGGGGCAGCCCCAGGAAGGGTTTCCCTTTGGGGCCTCGGCGGCGGGGGGGGGGGGGGGGGGGGGGTCCCGCCTGCGGATTGGCCGCCTGGCGGGGGCGGGGCTCCAGGGGCGGGGCCTCTCCGGGGACTGGCAAGGCAGACGGGGGCGATGCGGCACCCTTTCGCGATGCGAGGACTCCGCTGCGCGGTGAGTGGGGTGGGGGCTGCAGAGAACTGCCCCCCCCCGCTGATTAGCGTTGGAAGTGGACCAAGCAGGAGGGAAT